GACCCAGGCCCACCTATCTCTCTCGACTGCCTAGACCAGGCCCGCCTATCTCTCTCGACTGCCTAGACCAGGCCCGCCTAGCTCTCTCGACTGCCTAGACCAGGACCGCCTAGCTCTCTCGACTGCCTAGACCAGGCCCGCCTAGCTCTCTCGACTGCCTAGACCAGGCCCGTCTAGCTCTCTCGACTGCCAAGACCAGGCCCGTCTAGCTCTCTCGACTGCCTAGACCAGGCCCGTCTAGCTCTCTCGACTGCCTAGACCAGGCCCGTCTAGCTCTCTCGACTGCCTAGACCAGGCCCGTCTAGCTCTCTGGACTGCCTAGACCAGGCCCGTCTAGCTCTCTCGACTGCCTAGACCAGGCCCGTCTAGCTCTCCGGACTGTCAAGACCAGGCCCGCCTAGGCCTCCGGACTGTCAAGACCAGGCTCCGCCTAGGCCTCCGGACTGTCAAGACCAGGCCCGCCTAGGCCTCCGGACTGTCAAGACCAGGCTGCCTAGGCCTCCGGACTGTCAAGACCAGGCCCGCCTAGGCCTCCAAACTGTCAAGACCAGTGACCATCTAGCCCTCTCGACTGTCAAGACCAGGTCCATCTAGCCCTCTCGACTGTCAAGACCAGGTCCATCTAGCCCTCTCGACTGTCAAGACCAGGGCCATTTAGCCCTCTCGACTGTCAAGATTATCCAAGGGAAATAGACCTCACAGAGCCTCATTCTCCTTCCCAGGTAGCTGGATCCTTCATTAGGAGACTCCTTCCACCCTTATATCTGTCTTATTTCCCCCCATAGAACTGCCTTTCCATAACCCCCTTTCCCATCCTTTCCCTCTAACTCCTTAGTATATGTCCTCTTTTGACTCAAACACCACACCCTAGATCACTCTAATCATGCTCTCTCTCCCCACATTCCCAAATTTCCACATGAAAAGTTGGAGTCTCATTGTGACACTTCTAGATTTGTCAGTGTCCCACTAAGGAAGGCCCCTTGATTATGGTGTACCAAATGTAGGTAGACTTAGACAACATTTGTTTAAAAAGTTGCACAGTAGGGTGAAAGGAGGTAAAAAGCCAGACTGGCCCGAAACACCACTTGAAGCCCCATGGAGATCACTTGGTGAATCCAACCCCACCAGGTGCAAGCTTCCCAAGGGCTGGGCTTCTCCTGGTCATTAACTGAAAAAAGAAAGATGGAAGTGCACACCAGGAAGCCGCCCGGATCTCAGTGTATAAGGCTTCAGCTTCCCTCATGGGCTTGGTCTACCACCGAGCCCAAGAGCTGGTGAAGCGTGTTACATGAGCATGGCTTGGGAGGCAGCAAAGCTGAAGCCTGATACACTGAAAGCCGGGTAGCTTCCCAGTCTGTGCTTCCATCTTTCTTTTTTCAAAGATAAAAGGACAGTTGGCGAATCGAATGGCAGAAGCACCCAATGTGGTGTGTCTAAGGATGGGTTGGAGCCATCAAGTTAATTGAACATGGTGATTCCCATAAAATAAAGCTGATGTTTGCCTAATTTGATGACTGCGACCCATCCTTAGACACACCACATTGGGTGCCTCTGCCATTCGTTTCACCAACCAACATTTTATCTTCTCTCATCCTACCAGTACAATACCCACCTGCAGACCCATAGAGGATCCAGGATTGGAACCCCTCCAGCATCAAGAGTGACCAGTTTCACCCCGAATGGAGACAGGACCTTTTTTCCACCTGCGTTCGTAGAAGATTGCGTGGTTCCACCCATTTGGATCACTTCAACCTCACCAGATGTAGACCATTTCATCTTTTCTTTTTATCTTTTTTCTCTCAGTTGAGGAAAGAACTACATTTAGATACGTACTGCCTTATAAGGGCTCTCCTGCCTCACATCTTTTTCCAGTGGACACCTTGGGCCTTTTATTGGGTTTCCAATTTGCTCGAAGCCCCCATTGAAATTACTCGGTGAATCCAACTCCACCAGGTGCAAGCTTCCCAAGGGCTGGGCTTCTCTTGGTCATTAACTGTAAAAAAAAAAAAAAAAAGATGGAAGTGCACACCAGGAAGCCGCCCGGATCTCAGTGTATCAGAAAGGCTTCAGCTTCCCTCATGGGCTTCATCTACCACCGAGCCCAGGAGCTGGTGAAGCGTTAGATGGGTGTGGCTTGGGAGGAGGCAAAGCTGAAGCCTGATACACTGAAAGCCGGGTAGCTCCCCAGTGTTTGCTTCCATCTTTTTTCAAAGATAAAACGGCAGTTGGCGAATCGAATAGCAGAGGCACCCAATGTGGTGTGTCTAAGGATGGGTTGGAGCCATCAAGTTAATTGAACATGGTGATTCTCATAAAAATAAAGCTGATGTTTGCCTAATTTGATGACTGCGACCCATCCTTAGACACACCACATTGGGCGCTTCTGCCGTTCGTTTCACCAACCAACATTTTATCTTCTCTCATCCTACCAGTACAATAAACATAGAGGATCCAGGATTGGAACCCCTCCAGCATCGAGAGTGACCAATTTCACCCCGCATGGAGACAGGACCTTTTTTCCACCTGCGTTCATAGAAGGTTGCGTAGTTCCACACATTTGGATCACCGCAACCTCACCAGTTGTAGGTCATTTCATCTTTTCTTTTTATCTTTTTTCTCTCGGTTGAGGAAAGAACTACATTTAGATACGTACTGCCCTATAAGGGCTCTTCTGCCTCGCATCTTTTTCTAGTAGATACCTTAGGCCTTTTATTGGGTTTCCAATCTGCTCGAAGCCCCATGGAGATCACCCGGTGAATCCAACCCCACCAGATGCAAGCTTCCCAAGGGTCGGGCTTATCCTGGTCATTAACTGTGAAAAAAGAAAGATGGAAGTGCACACGAGGAAGCCACCCGGATCTCAGTGTATCAGAAAGGCTTCAGCTTCCCTCATGGGTTTAGTCTACCACCGAGCTGGTGAAATGTATTAGATGGGCATAGCTTGGGAGCAGGCAAAGCTGAAGCCTGATACACTGAAAGCCGGGAAACTTCCCAGTGTGTGCTTCCATCTTTCTTTTTTCAAAGATAAAAGGGCAGTTGGCGAATCGAATGGCAGTGGCACCCAATGTGATGAGTCTAAAGATGGGTTGGAGCCATCAAGTTAATTGAACATGGTGATTCCCATAAAATAAAGCTGATATTTGCCTAATTTGATGACTCCGACCCATCCTTAGACACACCACATTGGGCACCTCTGCCATTCGTTTCACCAACCAACATTTTATCTTCTCTCATCCTACCAGTACAATACCCACCTGAGAACCCATAGAGGATCCAGGACAAGAACCCCTCCAGCATCAAGAGTGACCAATTTCACCCCGCATGAAGACTGGGCCTTTTTTCCACCTGCGTTCGTAGAAGATTGCATGGTTCCACCCATTCGGATCACCGCAACCTCACCAGATGTAGGCCATTTCATCTTTTCTTTTTATTGTTTTTCTCGGTTTAGATATGTACTGCCCTATAAGAGCTCTTTTTCCAGTGGATACCTTGGACCTGTTATTGGGTTTCCAATCTGCTCAAAGCCCCATGGAGATCACCCGATGAATCCAACCCCACAAGGTGCAAGCTTCCCAAGTACGTACTGCCCTATAAGAGCTCTTTTTCCAGTGGATACTTTGGGCCTTTTATTGGGTTTCCAATCTGCTCGAAGCCCCATGGAGATCACTCGATGAATCCAACCCCACAAGGTGCAAGCTTCCCAAGTGCGTACTGCCCTAAAAGGGCTCTGTTTCCCGTGGATACCTTGGACCTGTTGTTGGGTTTCCAATCTGCTCAAAGCCCCATGGAGATCACTCAATGAATCCAACCCCACAAGGTGCAAGCTTCCCAAGTGCGTACTGCCCTATAAGGGCTCTTTTTCCAGTGGATACCTTGGCCCTTTTTTTGGGTTTCCAATCTGCTTTTTTGCTCTGGCCCCTTGGACCGTTGAGGACCACCACCGCCTGAATCCCAGACGTTATTGACGGATCAAGGCCGGTACGAGGATTTCATATGGAGCTGCTGGGACACCCTTGTTTATTGTGATGAAGTGAATCTCTTTGTATTTGTATTATCTGCTTCTGTCTCGAAGATCCTCAATAAAAAAAAAAAAACTAAAATCGACATCTCAACAGTTGCTCAGTGATGGTCTACTGCATTGAAAAAGAAAACAAAAACTTTATTATTCTCCAACAGTTGTACAAAAAATTCCAAATGCATACCCAATGTGTACATGTACGCGATAGAAAGAGGAGTAACAATGGAGAATGAGAAGGGGAAAAGTTAGAACATGTGGTGGTGGAGGTGATGGTGGTGGTGGGGGTGAAGGTTCATTTTGAGTTGTCTTGGATGGTCTTTAAAGGAATTAAAGTTGTCGTAATTGGCTTCTGAAATCTGGTCTGCTACTACCTTGCATCTGGCCAGGTTCCCCTCACTGTGCAGTAATCATCCAGTTGCTTGGTTGCTAGGACCGCCGATGTCCTAGTAACTGATAACAAGCTGGTCCCAGTAGGAGGATGGAACTTCTCCTATCCATACCTGCTTCAGCCCCTGCCCTGTGCCATGACTACAGCCACGCTGTAAGCAAGGTAAGGGTGTAGGCCTTACCTTGTAAGTAGACTTTCAGTGGGACTCTGATATACAGTGAGGAACAGAAGTATTTGAACACCCTGTGATTTTGCAAGTTCTCCCACTTAGAAATCATAGAGGGGTCTGAAATTCTCATTGTAGGTGCATTCCCACTCTGAGAGACAGAATTTAAAAAAAAATTCAGGAAATCACATTGTATAATTTGTAAAGAATGTACTTGTCTTGCACTGCTGAACATAACAATTTGAACACCTGAGAAAATCAGTGTTAATATTTGGTACAGAAGCCTTTGTTTGCAATTACAGAGGTCAAACGTTTCCTGTAGTTCTTGACCAGGTTTGCACACACTGCAACAGGGATTTTGGCCCACTCCTCCACACAGATCTCCTCTAGATCTATCAGGTTTCGGGGCTGTCGCTGAGCAACACGGA